TGAGGGGTGCTATAACTGGTTGCGGACCGAGGAATACCTGGTCTGAGCGCTCTCTGACCAAATGGTCAGATGCCTTGTGACCTGCTATGAAGAGTAAAAAACATAATTTAGTTAAGGCATTAAGCCGATTCGATTTTGTAGCTGACAAGTTAAAATCTATAGTATGTTGGTCTAAAAGCAAAAACAGACGGCAGCGTTAATCCCGATTAACTCGGATCAACGCTGCCGTCTATTTAACCTTTTAGATATTAATTGGACAAGGCTGGAGTAAATCTTTTCTGATATGATCCCCAACAGGTTCTCTATGGGATCCAAAATAATATTTAAAGCCGGCCAGATTAGTACTTGGAACCAACTTTTTACAATACTCGTCCTACTGAACGGCTTACTGACCTGTTGAGGAATAGCATCATAATCACAAGCATCGTACAAAAAAGTTATGAGTAGGCTGAATTATTGAAAAAAGTTGTATCCATTGGTCCTTCCTATTCCGTGTAGGTTGTCGCAACTTTTAACTCTTAAAAGCTCAGACAAGTTAAGTTAAGTTTGTCCAACACATTTAATTGCGACGTTTAATTTCAAATCATTATAAATTTATTTAGATTCACGAATATTTACGAATGTCTTTTTTAAAGTAATTTGCCTAAAACGAACTTCTCTCATTGGCGCTTTCATATATTCAATAATTACATATAGTATTTTGCACCCACCCAGTATAAATCTCGGCCATCAGCACAAAATCTCACATCTGTCATTTTAATAAATTAACCGTATACCTGCATTGATGCGAGTATAACATTTAGGGGATTCCCTTCAACTCGTAAAGTCTTAAACCGTGTAAAACTCGTAAGTTTGCGAGGCTTTTATGGGAATACCCCCTTTGCGAAATGCTGTAAATAGGTGCGTAAAGTGACTGTTGGACAGATAAACCAAGATTTTGTGCAGCAATTTCTGTTTCGTAGTATTTTCCATAACATTTTAACAACAATTAAAAATGCCGAAAATTACCAGAAAACCTAAGTCAATACAGTTAGTGGATGAAATTCATTCATTTTATTCGCGTATTATTTTTTTTATTTTTTTCATTATTTTATCATACATTTTAGTATAAAAATTTCGTCCCCTCGGCAATACTGAGGTTTACGAGGTCGTCTGCGCATCAAATTTGCCTCCTCGTAAATTTACGAGGGGCTCGTAAATAGAGCTCCATACAAATTTTGACAGTTCTTTTACGAGCTTTACGAGGCTTTTACGAGATTAAGGGAAGACCCCTATTGTATTTGCACAAATACAAATACACACATATGTGCAATGCAAATATGCATATTCGATTAAAAGGGAAAAGAAATTCATAAATTTTTAAAAAATTCCTCGCCCCCGAACGCAATAAGGCTAAAAAAATCTAAATCCAATGATGTTATAAGTATTCTTCAGTATTTAGCATACATATTTATTAATGTAAACAGAATTTTTGGCATTTACAATGAAGTTACAAAAGGATAAACAAATGTGACAACGCAGCGCTGCAATGCAAGGCAATAAGTAGCATCATGCAATTGAGTAAGCGACAACGAGGTTGTTGTATGCAACAAAGAGCAAGATGCGCGCGTATAGTATATTGCTGCATGCAACATTTAAATTAACGCAATGTTGCATCTTGTCAATGCAACGACGTAGCAGGTAGTAGGTGACACAAGTGTAAGTGGGAGATGGTTATCAAAATGTTGTTGTGTCATATTGTCGGTTGTAGCAGCATTTATTTCACACATATCTAAATTTTGTGAGTTTTCAAATGCCAAATGATTTTCCTATTTTCGCTTCTCCATAATAAAATAGGCATCTACATACATATGTACATATGTATTTAGTTTGGCCATTTTCACTTTATTGGTTTATAAATGTTTAAGGAACTGTGTCTTTGTCACACATCATTCTCATCAATCAATTCGAAAACTTAACGCTTGCGAAATATTTTATGTAAAAGTATTTATTGCAGGAGCGTGTGCCGCAGCTGTGGGAGGTCTTCAAATACAAGCAGCCATACATATATATACATACGTACATACATACATATGGTTATATCTCTGCGTCCAGACGTAGATTATAGTGTAAACAGAAATTAGGGCTGTCAAAAGCATATTGAATTAATTATGAACTTCTAAGCCCAATTCGGTCATTACTTAAAAGGCATTCACTAAAAACTCAATGTCGTTAACAATTTACCACTGTTTACACTGTACTAGGTGAAATTAACTTTAATGTCTTAAGAATAATTCAATGAGCCATATGCAAATTAAAATTTCAGACCTTTTACTTGATTTATTCAAACAAAATTTAATTAAAAGACATGCAGTTTTCAGAGAAAGCAATTGCTTAGTTTTTATTCATACGGCGCATTGTCTTTTGAAAGTGCACTTTGTGTTAGCAAAAAAAACATATTTTGACATTTCTTGAAACGCTACCAAGGTCAGCATTTCCGCAATGTGAGCTATTCTGCCAATTATGAAGTTTGAATTTCTGATAAACAGATTTTTTAGTACATAATCTTAATATTGTCAATAGTGAACTATTTTTCGATTATAGGGAGAGGAAACAAGAGGCTGTTTACAACTTTGTTGCTGCAAAGGTGGGTGCGACGTTCCAGGTTTGAAATTAAAATTAATAACTTTTGAAAAATATTTTTTTAAATACCCACTGTATAAATGTGTTTATAAATGTAATTTTATTTTTTTTTACGAGTATTTAAAACAAATATTTTGATAAAACAAAAAAATGGAACCCTTTAAGCGCCACGGCCGCTAAGGATTTTTAAAATTTTTTTGCAAAAATTTTGGTAGGTAATTATATGAGTTAATAAAAAATCGAATTTTTTCAAATCATTAACTGATTTAGCTATACTAAATTTTGGCCAAAAATTTGGTGGAATTTCCCATAGCGCATTTTAAAAAAATATAAAAAGAGTAGCAGAAAACTATAAAGAAAATCGTGAACTTAAAATAAAATGTTCCTAATTAATTTTTGTTTTTCGAAATTCAGCATTACACAGTTTAAAACATCAATAAACTTTTTTAGGTGTTTATTAAAAACTAGGGACGGTAATCAACATTTAATCATTATTTTATGGTTTTTATTTTTTTCGCTAAAAATAATAATTATTATTGCGTTTTATTTTTCGCTCAACGGAAATAATTATTATTTGATTTTTATTTTTTCGTTCACAAATAATGATTAAATATTTTAAGACTTTTATTTTCCCCCTCAGAAATAAAAATTATTATTGAGTTTTATTTGTCCACTTAAAAATCATGAAATTTTGACCTGGAAATTTTGGGACTCATTCCTTTTATTAGGTTGTCACTACCTCTGAAAGGAATATGTCGAAAATCACGCTGTTATAGCTTTTGAGTTCTTTGAATGATCATTATTCTTTAAGTGAAAAAATAAAACTCAATAATAATTATTACCTTTGAGCGAAAAAATAAAAATCATTAAATAATCATTATTTTTTATCAAAAAAATAAAAATCAAGTAACAATAATTTGCTTTGGGCGGTAAAATAAAACTCAAGTATTAATTATTATTTTTAATCTTTAATGATTAAACTCGAAAAATAAAAATCATGGTAAATTACGGTAGAACGTACGAACACAAATACATACGTGAGTATAGTTAAGATTCTTTAACGACGTTACAACTTGTTGATTTTTTTTTTTGTTAAAATTTCAAAATTAATTACTTTACACCCCTGTTAAAAACCAGTGTTTCAAAAAAATTTGAAATAAGCTCAGTTTTTATACGGTTTTATAGCTACGCTGTAAAGAAACAAATAAAATTAGAGAGCACCTTCCTATATAAAGGCAAAGAAATATAATATCGGTCAATTTTCAAAGTAAAAACAAACTAGTTTATGCCCTCTTTGTCTGTTGCCGTGAATATTTTCATTTCAGAAGCTTTTGTCTCCATTCGTACTATGTGGCCGAGCCAGCGAAGCCGTTGTACTGTTATTCGTTGCACACTAAAATTCCTGTCGACGGGCATAAGTTCGTACGAACATATTCTACACAAATGGTGATGCTTGCACCTTATTACCTCCCGCCGCCGTACTTCATTAGTGCAGCTTCAGCTGGGTTTTTCGTGGGAGTTCGGGTTCATATTTTTACGTTAAGTTACATCAAGTTCTTCGAGGATGTAAAACGATTATGCGATCAAAGAGGGGATCTCTTTCAACTCACAAAAAAAAATATATATATATTTTTAACGCCTTCATATTGTTCGATGGAAATTCAGTTCAAATACGAATACAATTTTTTTTTTTAATATTTAAAAATTGCCCTAAAGCAATTTCGTATTTTTCTAAAAATCAATTACCTCTAAAAATCACCACCCTCATATTGTAATATGGCTAATATGTCTTTAATAGACGAATTCATAAAATTTACAAGGCAATTTTTATCGAGGAAATTAAGCCAAATGCCGACTGCTGTGCAGGCGGACACTCCAATGACATTTTCGCAGTCTCAGTTGCGTCGACGCGACAAAATGAAGCGAACAGGTACATAGATGACCATAAGTTATTTGCTAGTCGCCATTAGCTGCGAGGCTGTAATGCAAATCGAATGCGGTGGAGAAGAATTGTCGTGGAAAGCTTAGCAGAAATCGCACTAAAAATACTAGAACGGATGGCGAAAAACTCGACCATTCAATGTGTCACATAAAGTGCGTTCGCCAACAAATAGACGTCGATTTTTTTCAATATAAATAAAATATTTCGATTAAATAATTAATTCTCCTTCAATTTATCAATAAACTCGCCCCAAAACGTGAAACGATTTTTCAGTTAACGATTAGCAAAGCGAGTGCACGAACGTATAAAGAAACGCCCTAACATAACGGCCGTGGTCGAGGTACATAACGCGAGTGTTAGATAACCAAAAAAAAAAAAACTAAAATATCCTTTTCAGGTGTGTCAAGAAAAAAATTAAATTGAAAATCAAAACAGAAGCACATTTAGTGTATTTTAGAAATGGGCGACCCAATCTCTTTTTCTGTTGAGGATATGGAGAAGGTACTAAGCGACATCTAGAAAAAATTTTCGCAAAACTTTCAAATTGTATTTTCATCTGTGTAGCGACGCCGCCGCGCCAGCGCTGCTCGAAAGGCTTCGATTGTGCGTCCTCCTTCGCCGCCACAAATAGAATCCGAGTCCTTGGCTGTCATCAATGAAATATTTAACCCAACTTATATAAAACCAGTTACCAAAGGTCCCTATCGCGCTCCCGATGAAGTGTCTGCCGATGACTTTGAAGCTATGAAGGATTTAGATATTAGCAAAGTGGCTGAATTGAAGGAAGTAAAGAAAAACAAAAGTGTTGTTTTTTTTTTTTGTTAATCGAACAAGCAAATTATTTACATCCACATATCTGGTGTGTATAGGTTTTTCTGCTGCTCGACCTGGACAGCGATGGTTTGATATCGAAGGATGATTTACGTTTCACTTTCACAGCGCTTGGCACAGACACACCTGACGAGCAGATCGAAGAAATGTTAAAAGAGGTGAATTAAACAGATTTGAATGATAGCGAGTACATGATTTATGCTTGCCATTTGATTGAAACAAACCAAAAAAAAAAACAACAAACATGCATGTACGAGTGATAGAAAGTGAATAAATTAAGAGTGTCCAAATATGTATGATAAAAAGTTTAAAGTTAAATATGGAAATGTGTACATACAAATATAAACTTTCATATAGGCAAAGGATCCTTTGGATTACGAAGCTTTTATCGAATTGATGAGCCACCGCACCGTGGAGTTGGATCCTGAGGACGTGTTATTGGAAGCCTGGAGTAAATGGGATGATTATGGCACAGGCAAAATAGAGGAGAAAAAGTGAGTAAACGCTGATATACATATTTACTTACATACGTATAAGCTGATTTATACGAACCCACATACGTATTTAATATATAGTTTATTTTATAATTTGTTTTGATTTTGATTGATATTGAACTACAAACTTGAGTATTGGCAAGCGCTGTTAAAACTTAAATTCATTTGCTGTGCGATTCAGTTGTAATTTCCAATAGCGTAAGCGAACCTATCACATACAGGGATCATTACAAAATAGTCAAACGCAATTGCTAAAGATTTGCACGCTTTCACTTACATAAATATATCAGACTCCGAAACCCATCGTAGTTATGACTCTTTCGACATAGTAGGAGTATCTTTATTTCGAAGATTTATATTTGATTATTACAAAATATTTTTTTTTGATTGCTTCGAATCCTTCATGATCTAAATCAGTAATCTGAAAATAACTTTAGAATGAAAGCTTGCCATCAGAATCGTGCGACAAAAGCAAAAAAAACTTCAAAAGACAAGAAAGAATCGATATACTCACTCACAAACTATTATAGTAAAGCTGCGTTTTTGGTTTATCACTCTGACGTCAGGATTNAAACGCTGATATACATATTTACTTACATACGTATAAGCTGATTTATACGAACCCACATACGTATTTAATATATAGTTTATTTTATAATTTGTTTTGATTTTGATTGATATTGAACTACAAACTTGAGTATTGGCAAGCGCTGTTAAAACTTAAATTCATTTGCTATGCGATTCAGTTGTAATTTCCAATAGCGTAAGCGAACCTATCACATACACGGATCATTACAAAATAGTCAAACGCAATTGCTAAAGATTTGTACGCTTTCACTTACATAAATATATCAGACTCCGAAACCCATCGTAGTTA